TTTTGGGTGCATGAGGAAGCAAGAGATGGGTCTGATTTCAATACAAAACCGTCCTGGTCTGCTTATTATTTATTGATAATGCTTTTGTTTATTTATGGTAGCATCCACTTTTTTGCTGGATGCTTTCCTATTATTGCCAACCCTAAGCATTCACACATCATGAAGCAGGCTGCAGAAAATCATGAGATTTTAATATAATATATATTTGGGTTCTTTTTATTTGACCTTCCGTCTTTTGAGGCTTTAAGGTGCACTCAGGTCATGTTTACTAGTTTCTCTCCTCAGCCATACGAACTAAAAACTTACTCCCCTTTTTTTTTTAATGAAAGTTGAGATTCTCATATACTCATTTGAATCCAGGAGCTGGGATGTGAGGAAAAAATACCAAATATCATGAAACTTGGTATAATATTGCGAGAACTGGCAACCTTGCTTTCCGGATAGACAAAGTATTGCTGCTGGAGTTTAAGAGTGGACAGAAAAACAGGTTAGAGGGAAGGGAAGCCAATAAGTAAAGTGGTCTATGGTCCTTAACCTTATTTTTGCCAAAACATGGCCAAGATCATTTAGATTCAGATGAGCACAGGTTCTGTCAAAACTCAACCCAAGTTCACTCAAAAGGCTTAATAAACCCGGTCGGTTTCTAGTTTATAACAAACCTCAAGCTGACATATTTCATGTGTTGCGGAGTTTTGCAGCAAACATTCTACATTACATTTTTAAATTATTTGCAATTAAATACCTCTTCAGGATCAGGAAGAAACACTGTCATGGTCCCTCTTCGTGAAAAGATGGGACTAAGTTAAGAGAATCTGTGATAAGCACAAAAGGGACTATAATCAAGATGGAAGTATTATAATATAATGCCGTCTTCTCTGTGAGAAGGTGAGATTTAAATCTGCCCCATTTTATTAGTAAAAATGGTTTTCTGACAGCCAGGAAAGAAGTCATCAGTAGTAACTGACGAAGTGGCTGCTTGCCTGCAGAGAGAGAAAACAGGCTAGAATCAAAGCAAGGGACCAAAAAGTTTAATACATTTCAAGGCAAGGGAAGCAGCAAACCTACCATCATTATTCACAGGCTTACCTTAGGGAGGAAATCCTGGTTATAATGGCTGAGACTGCAGCTTTGTATAGCTAATAATCCTCAATATTCTCATAATTTCCAGAGAAAAGAGGGAAAGTCACAAGAGGTTGGTAGCGTTGTCTCATTCCTGAACCAATGAGCCCATCATAGCTTGCAGGAACAGACCGGGGCATGCCAAGAGGTTAGCCAAAATCCTGCAGGGGGTATCTGGGTAAGGTAGGAAGGATGGTCTAATAAAGTGAAAAGGAGATGGTCTAGATCAGTGTGTCTCAGGCTTGTCAGCTTGGAGATCTTATTTAAGGTCAAAATTTCATGATCCCCTTACTTTTATAATCAATGTAAGGGTAAAATGTCTGAGTGGTAAATCTATATAATGTGGGTGGGTGTGTTTCTCAAGAGGTTGACAGAGAATATTTGACCTTCAAGTTCAAGTGGGATGTTGTTTTTCTCTTGGATTGGAATGTGATTCTCATTTGAAGAGCAATGCAGTTTGGAGGGGCGCTAAAGTAATATTTTGTTTGATTTCCTATGATAATCATGATTCACACTGGTATCGTTGTCTTGTTTTGTATATAAAGCTGTGGCCTTTTCATTCCTGTATTAGATTCATGGATGACGATTCGGTTACGTTTGGGAAGGGAGGGAGATTGCAAACCTGCCAAAGCCAGTAGCAGAGGACCAAAAGAGGCAACTGAATTTCTTCGCACCTGGTAGCTGCAGGAGGCTCTATTGCTTCATGCAGGATCCTTTCTTCCATTTCACTGGTGACATGATGTAAATGTAACACAGATGCTCAGGATAAATAATTGAATGAGAAACAAGGGATATAAAATTAGTGAGCTGTGAACGTGCAGTCAAGACAACTACTGAGGTTGCATTTTTGCATCATTGTGCCGGCAATATCAGCATTTGAACTTCTTATCCTGATGTTAATCCCTAATGGGGGCCAAACTGTATAGTTTTTCTTGGAGCTTTGCTACAGCCATGACATTTGTACAATAACAGCAGTGCATTCCCATTCTCCAGCTCCCTGTTTTTATAGCACAGAATACACCATTTAATTCCACCCTTTGGTTTTCTCAGGGCTTGTCTTCACTACCCACCTGGATCGGCGGGCAGAAATCGATCTCTCGGGGATCGAATTATCGCATCTCGTCGGGACGCGGCAATCGATCCCCGAATCAACACGTGTACTCCCATCTCGTCAGGAGGAGTAAGCGCCGTCGACTGGGAAGCCGCGGTGGTCGATTTGCCGCCGTCCTCACAGCGGGGTAAGTCGGCTCGGATACGTCGAATTCAGCTACATTATTCCCATAGCTGAATTTGCGTATCTTAAATCGACCCCCCCTCCCAGTGTAGACCTAGCCTCAGATACAGATTTCCCATTTGAAAGAGTTAAGCAATGGCTTTCGCTCCTAATACAAGAATAAGCTGCATTGTTGACAATGAGCTCAATTTTCTTCAGAGGCTCAACCTGCCCTCTGTCTTTGTGCCATCTAATTGTGGGTACAAATGTTATACTTTTGACATCCTGGGTCCAGATCCGCAGCTAGTATAATTAGTGTAACTCCATTACTTTCAGTGAAACTACACTGTTTATTCTGGCTGGGGATCTGGACCCTATCTGTTACATCCGACCTATGGTCACAAATAGTTAACTTCTATCACTGGCACCTACACTTAATTGTGCCCACACAATTGAAGTCAATTAAACACACAGTCAAAAAAAGATATATTAGAATTGGAAAAAGTACAGAGGAAGGCAACAAAAATGATTAGGGGTGTGGAACAGCTTCCATATGAGGAGAGATTAAGAAGACTGGGTCTGTTCAGCTTAGAAAAGATACAACTAAGTGGGATATGATAGAGGTCTAAGAAATCATGAATGGGGTAGAGAAAGTGAAAAAGTAAGTGTTACTTACCTCTTCACGTCACACAAGAACCAGAGGTCACCCAATGAAATGAATAGGCAGAAGGTTTAAAACAAACATAAGGAAGTACTTCTTCACACAATGCACGGTCAACCTGCAGAACTCATTGCCAAAGGATGTTGTGAAGGACAAAAGTATAGCAGGGCTGAAAAAAGAATTGGATAAATTCATGGAGGATAGGTCCATCAGTGGCTATTAGCCAAGATGGTCAGGGATGTAACCCCATGCTCTGGCTGTCCCTAAACCTCTGACGGTGAGAAGTTGGGTCTGGACAACAGGGGATGGATCACTCAAAATTGCCCTGTTTCATTCATTCCCTCAAAAGCATCTGACACTGACCACAGTCGGAAGACAGGATACTGGGCTAGATGGACCATTTGTTACCACACAAATATGGGGAAGTCTCAGGCCTACGCATTGGTCTGACCCAGTATGGCTATTCTTGTGTATTTTGTCCATTTTTGAGGGTTTCATTCCAGTATCTCCGTAGTATGCAACTTGTCCTCTGAACGGGGCTTTTGAGTTACCAGTTTGTGCGGGATATGACAATTGATTAGTATACCTGCTCCTGCTTAACACTGAGCATGGAGGCGTCCAAAGTTCAGCTCTTTCATTGCCTTGTGTGTACATGGAGAAAACTGCTTTACATTCCTACTGGAGGATGTTGAATGAGAGGGAAAGAGGATTAATAAAAAAGCAGTATGTGTGAGGTGTTTGGAGACTAATCAAGGTCACATGGGGTTTAAGGGAAAATGATTCACATTTGATTAGTGAGCTCACTTTTTTGAGAAAGGCAGCCATGCAAAAGAACAGTCTCAAGCCTGTAATAAGGACCTGTTAAGTAGTTGATACCATTTCACTCCGAGGGGCTGGCAATAAGATAGTCCGTGTTGGCAATGTTTTTTTGCCATAAGTGATCTCTTTGGCTCTTTCCAATACCCAGTAGTAAGTATGCCATGCTGGGACTGTTGAGGTGGTTGGAGAGATTGTAGAAAATCTCCCCATCCCATTCAGTTACATTTCCTTTAGTTAAGAGTCTTTCTTTCCCTACTTTGTGCAGGGCTGGAGAAGTTCCAGGTAATCATACAGGGAATCCGCATCTGGGCACATCTGGAATGATGCAATAGAATAAAAATGCCTACTACATTCAGGGGATTGTGGTAGCCTGCTGGACTATGTTGACCTTTTCAGTATTCCATATTTTGATTGATTGGCCATTTTTCCTCTTTGCCAGGTTGTAAACAGGGGAGTAGTGAAATAGCCGGCCAAAATGAATGCTGCAAGTTGCATAGGCTAAAGCAGAATTTATATAGAATTTATGAGAGATGAAATTCTGCTACCGTGTTCTCATAAAAATTATAAAGAGAACAGAAAGTGACATAAAATCAATCAATTTTCATCACAAAGATCATTATGAGAAGAGAAAGTAGTGTCCTGTTTTAACTCATTCTCATTACAGTTATAAGATTATCATCTCAAGTTGACACATGAAGGGGCTGAGTGGAAATTCTTCCTTATCTCGGCACTGGAAAAAACAAACAAGCCAAATTACCCTCATCTTGTCCTATGTGCGATCTTGTCATATTTCACAAGCCATGTAGGCATCAAGACAGATCAAAACTTTGATAGGAGCCTCCCCACTACAAATACCTAGATGTTTTGGTGCTTCAGTAGATGACACTCCTCCTCCTGAGTCCATAATAAACCAACTTTCCAGCGTGGTCTTGGGAGGCATTGGATGTTGGTGGTGTCATTTGTTTAAGTATATGCAAAACCAAGGTCCTCTCACTTGTGTTTGCTAAAGAACCCAAGGCACTATTAGCTAAATAATATCAACTTTGCTGAACTGCCTCTTGGCCAGCTCCCCCACATCCCTCAGTCTAGCCGTTAAGCGTTGGCTGACACCTTATAGGTGTTGCCTACCAGATTTTTCTTTTGGTTAATTGATATTTTTGTTTGTTCTTGAATTCTTTTTTTGTAGACTAATCAACACCATGCAAATCAAAACATTGACTACCAGACATTGTGTGCAGCCTAAACCTGTCTTGCATGCCTACAACGTTATCTAAGTCCTCCTAGGCAAGGTGAAAGAAGTCTGCAGTTAGGTATGTATCATCTCATCTTGCGTCAAGGTCAGTAATAGACATTCTGCATAAGTACTTCCTGCTTGTGGGGATGCATTTAAGTATCCTAATGTACAATAATGTGCCACACTAAAATGGAGAATATATTGCTTTATTGCTATACTCTTTTAAATGTAATTTTAAATGCCCATAATGTGTGGTGATTGCATATTTTTATAGCCGTTTACTGCATATGGAGATGTTGAGAACATATAGATGCCCAGGGTTCTTTCAAGGGTGCTATTAGGTCTTGCAAGTTTACTGTAAAACATTTAATTGGGGGCAGCAGCTGTTTGCCAAGGCACAGGGCTGTGGAGGTCAAAGTGGCTGCAACTTTAACATCCTGATCCTTCTCCCGTTGACTTAAATGAAAATAGGATCAGGTCCTTGTTGAATAACCCAATGAACCTCTTCAACCAAACTTAAACCAGGTTGAATGTTCTTGCAAAATTCAGTTCAGATCCATGTGCTATCACAGTAACCTGAGAGCTTGTTACTGGGCCCTGTCCATGCGATAATTCCAAATGCACACTGTGCTAGCAGCAAATGAGATTTTTACCCTTCTGATTGGATTATAGATGAGGCCTAGATTAACAATCAGAGGCTAGTTGATTTAAGACCCGCAGTATGTTTCTACTAGGCAGGTACAGATCCAGTTGCTATTCTGAATCATGCTCTGTTGGCAAGGACTGACTAGCAGAATATGAAGTAAGAGGCAGGCAGGTGAATGGTATGTAAAGAAGGGGCACCGGGGTACACAGAACCAGAAAGGCCAGTCACTCCTGGACCAACCCACTAGGTCAGCTGTTTGAACTGACAGCCGTAAATTCCAATCAGTCCCTGCAGCTCTGGTTCTCAGTACTACTAATGCAGAATAACAAGCCCAAAGTGGAAAGCCCAAGCCTTTCACTTTGCAGAGAGGATGGTTGCACCATTTGTGATGCAAGTCCACAGCACTGGATCTTGTCGGGTACATTCAAAAATCTAGTCTTGTTCTCCGCATGTATTGTTCCTCGTATACTGCCGAACAGCTGTAGTTCGTTTTGGAGTTGACATCGGGCACTGTCAGACTGTATAACTGGTACTGACTTGTAATGAGAGCTGAACATTTTGATCTTTATAATATATTTATGAGATATGATAGTCCTTATTCATAACATAGATACACCAGTCATTGCACAGCATATGTAATCCAGGAATTTTGCATGCATTATGTTGAGAAAAAAAGTAAGTTTATGAAAAAGAAGTCTTCCAAATTTGGCCAACATAAAACTTCACCAACTTGCTGAAGACAGGATGAGCTGACATGATAAATGTAGGGCATAATGCCCTGATCAAAGTAGGCATTTCCTCATAGCAGGATTACAAATGCAGCTTCTCAGTTCACCCAGCCTCTTCGCACTCATGCAGATAAAGTTCCCAGACTTCACCCTGGACCTGCAGAGCATGCAATGTGATGCCTTAATTCTCTCCAGATGGCTGCACGCAGCCTCTGAATATATAGGACTCTACACACTTTGCTTCCAAAGAACACATGGGTATTAATTGAAGTCTAGAGATGGAGCAGTTAGGGAGGTATGCTGAAATCTCTCAGCTTTACTCAGAGTGATGTTATTTTAGGGCATGCTAAATTTCCTTTGCATTTGATGATACCATACCTGTCTATGGGGAGGCTGGGGTGCTGTTATGTATTTGGAATCCTTGGGATACTTTACAATACCCACGTGATGTAGGAAGTGATATTACCCCATTTTTCAGAGGGAGACCTTAGGCCAGTTACTCTCTGTGGCTCAGATCACATGGGAAATCTTTTTTTTTTTTTTGGCAGCGGGTGGGGAGGGGAGGACTGCAGGGAATTGAACCCAGGTGTCTCAAGTCCCAGGCTGGTGCCCTCACCACTGGACCATCCTTCCTCTGCATAGACTGCTATATTGAGTCCTGAATATAGAGCGGTGTGGACTCATACTGCGACAGGCGTGGGGGAGACCTAACAGGCCAGATTCTCTACAGATGGAGCTCTGCCTCACTACACAGACTAAGGGTCTAGCCCAGTGTCTCCCAAAGGGCCCCAATGCAGATGTCAGTAGCCTAGTGCATCATCAGTAAATATGCCCAGTGGCTTGTGATGGGATGTTAGAGGGGGTGGGATCTGAGTTACTACAGAGAATTCTTTCCTGGGTGTCTGGCTGGTGAGTCTGCACCCACATGCTCAGGGTTTAGCTGATCCCCATATTTGGGGTCGGAAAGTAATTTCCCCCAGGGCAGATTGGCAGAGGCCCTGGGGGTTTTCGCCTATCTCTGCAGCGTGGGGCACGGGTCACTTGCTGGAGGATTCTCTGCATCTTGAAGTCTTTAAACCACGATTTGAGGACTTCAGTGGCTCAGATATAGGTTAGGGGTTTGTTACAGGAGTGAGTGGGTGAGATTCTGTGGCCTGCGTTGTGCAGGAGGTCGGACTAGACGATCATAATGGTCTCTTCTGACCTTAAAGTCTATGAGTCTGAGTCTATGATCCTTAGGAGGGTGAAGGATGCAGCAGGACAAAAGCATGTTGCTGCCTCTTTCCCAGCCCTGGGTGTGTTCGCAGCTTGTGGTCCCTGCGTGCATGACTGCACGGGAAGTGCTGTTGTTGCTGGGACCTTTCTCCCCTACTTCCGCTTCTTAGGCAGATAGAACTCCTCCTGGTACTCCCTAGGACATAGTGAGGGTGTGGCCACTGCTCCACTCCGTCAGAGAGTGCAGCATGATTTTCCCTGTGCACCTGGCCCATAAAAATACTTGGCCTGCGTTTGTGCAGGAGCTCGGACCAGACGAACATAAAGGTCCATCTGAATGACAACTAAATATGAGATCTGATTTTTCTTTACCAACATTTGCTTTTTTTTCAAATACAGCTTTTCAAAGCAAACTCCAAAGGAAAAGTCCAGTGAGAACCGGGGCGGAGTATTCCTTTCGGACAGATTTCTTCTGGCTGTGAATTCACTCCTGGTTTTATTCATTTTCAGTATTATGGCCGTTGAGTCTTAGCACTGACCTTTTCCGTGCCAGACGCTATAAAATTATTGCCATTCCTCATTTAGAGATCTGCCGGAACATGTCTTCTAAAAGCATGGGATGTTTCTTCTAATGGATCTTCGTTTTTTAGGGAGCAATGGAGAATTATGTTGCTGACCTTTCTTTGTGCTTAATAGGATTCTTTTTCATGTTCAGAATCATGCGATTGCTTATAAACAGGACAAAGAGCAGTATTTTCATGTGTGTGTGTGTGCTGACATGTGTTTAAATGTTTATTAAGTAATGTTACAAGAGCACTTACAGCAGAGCGTATTTGATAGGAAATCTCCCTTTATCATCACTTATAGAACACTAATGGCTAAGAAATCTTAAAAGGAATGGGTAGGTTAAAAAAAATGGTTCAAGTTGTCTTCTTCCTCATACTGATAAAGCAAAACATACTGTGTGGTAAAGCATCTAAGTTTTCAGTAATTTCCATGCACAATTAGCTTTGTATGTATGCAAGGTGAATTTTGTTTGACCTCTCCAGTTCAGCGGAAGTTGGACTTGAGTTTTGCATTTGTGTGGAATGTCTATTCTATTCTCCTAAGTGGGGCCGGTAGCTCTGCCTACTATTAAAGTTACCCAACACTTCCTTTTATAAGAGCCTGGTTTCAGTTGCTTAAAACTTTTGCCAATCGCTAACCATTTAGAATGACATTTTGCATGCTGGGCGTCTGCTTCACACTGAATTTGTCTGGACAGTTGGAGCCAAAATGGTTGTCTTGTTTCTGAAAGTGACGGTAGGGAAAAAAAATGCTGTTTTGCCAATGTTTAAAAAAAATTCTGGTGACTTTTTTCTTTTTCTTTTTTAACAGCTCTACCACCCGCATGCTTTGGAGCAGGGATTTGAAGAGATGTGCCTTTGGCCATCCCTGTGAAACTGCCTACATTTGGCTGGATGATAAGCCGTTCTAAAAAGGCAATTTGCGCATGTTCAGTAGAGGCTTCTTCAATTTTTAGCATCTAAAATCTCCAAAGAGTCATCCTCACTGAGCATACTCGAGCCGCTGAGAGCTTGTCATGCGGATGAGACTGAGCAGGTACCAACCCCACAGGCAACCTTAATTCTGGGGTTTCCAAACTTGTGACTGCTTGACTTTACAAGTGTAATAATGGTCTCTTAATGTAGTGTGTGTGTGTGTGTGTGTAATATGTCAGTTCGGGTACCTCCTTCCTCATCGTAGTGTCTGAGAACCTTCCAGTAGTGCATTAAGTGGCCTGATTAGAACCTCATGTGTCGTTTTTCTCCGGTCCTATCCCCAGCAGAAGAATTGTGTGTGCACTGGCCGTGGTTTTGTTGTGGTAGGGTTTGGTTTTGGTTTGTTTTTATTAGAGAAAGCAAGATGGAAGGTGTGCGCTTTGCACTTGGAACAGAAGGTGGTGGAGGTTTGCGATGGGGCTTAGTTCTTGTCAGAGTTCGTTATGCACTTTCAGACCAGCCCCTCAGAAACCTTCATCTCCTGCACAGAAAGGCTTTACCTCTGTGGCATGGTGCAGGATCAGGCCCTTCGTGTGAAACAGATTTATCCTGTTTGGGTCAATTTCAAGTCTTGTTTCTTCCTGCAAACAGACCAGTCTTAACAACTTGGAATGTGAGGTTGTGTTTTGGAGAGGTCTCCGTACAACAATAATAAGAAAACTTTGCACTTGCAGGGACAGATCCGCAGCTGGTGTAAATCAGCACATGCCACTTGAACGTCACACAGTTAATACAAGACAGAGCTGCTTTCTGCATCCCAGTTCTCTGTGCTAAACGCTACTCCATGCAGCTCTGTATTCAGATGCACAAGTTCTTCTTGTGTTCGCTTAGGAGCTGCAACTCAATTTGGGGATCTCATTTTATGGAGAAAGTGAGAAATCAAACATGTCCAAGGCACAGTGATTGAAATACATGGCCCCAACTCAGTCCCACAATGGGACTTCTGAGGCACATGCTTAAGCATCTTGCTGAATTGGGGCCTAACTGACCTAGAAGCATTCCATTTGTACTCCCCCCGGGCAAACTTCAGGAGCCAAACTGTATCTTCGGATGCAGGTGTCTGGAGTTCCTTTGCCGATGGGATTTGTGCAAATGCTCCTTCAGAAGCAGAATTTGGCCTTAATCAAGCTATTTGACAAATAAGTGGGGGACTGGATTTGAATTTGCCGTGATGGACCATAATGCTCAGCTCCTCCATGCATAAAGCCTGCTGGAAGGGCTTCTCGCCTCTGCCCGTCTTTGTAGTTAGCAGTGCTGGAGCAGAAGACCAAGGGCTTTTCCAGTAGCACCAGTAACTGGTTTTCTACATCACCACCATGCTGTACCTCCAGCTGTCCTGCACTGCAATCCTGTGACAATAGATCTAAATAGCAGCGGTAAAGGAAATCGTATCATCATGCTGTCACCAAGAATGTTAGTTGACATTCTAGAATCCGTATTGAGCCTGTACGAGTGGGTCATAAAACAGAGCCTCCTCCAGCAGATGGTTCACATGTAAAATTTCCATTGATTTCAATGCAACACCGGGCCCATGCTGTCTGTGTTTCAACTGACTTTCTGCTCTTTGATTCACACTGTGAATAAAATGAATCCCCCAGAACTGAAGCATTTAAACTTAGTGTATTTCTTGTTTGGTCATAGCATATAAATCTGTCATTCTTCCTGCCTAATTAGATAGAGTACAAACTAAAACAATCTCAATTTGCTGTTATAGTTTATTCTATACTTCATCAGTGCTTCTTGTTTGTCTCTAAATTGCCACATAAATACAAATTAAATCCCATGACATCTCTTTTTGGGACTCGGTCAAATACTTTCCGGTTAATTTCTCTCTTACAGCAAGATTAGGATCTTGGATATATGATTGCATATTTGTCACACTTCATGTAAAATCATCTACAGCGTCTGCACGCGCAGATTCAGCAGCTAATATTCTAATGCATTCCTCCTCTCCTATGTAGTGATAAGCACTTTTTCAATACTAAGCAAAGACATGATGATGATATGTCTCCACCTGCTGTTTGTGAGATCAGAATCAAGTTCTAAGCCTGGGAAATAAGGCCATTTTGGAGTGATACTACATGTGTGATTCCCCATTCTCTCCTTTTTCCGCCTCTCTTTCTCCACCTCACAGGGATCCTTTCTGAGCAGTGTCTTCTAGTTCCAGCAGAACAGCTGGCTCCTGCATTCATTGTAATTTCCACTCCCTGGCAGATGCATACTGTGATTTTTGGCAATTCAGAGAGGCTTGCGGTTCATCACAAGACTAATGGGTGAACATCCACTATTTAGGCTTTCAGGGTGGAGGGAGACAGTGTTTCCAGGATCTGAATATCTGACAAGCAGATGCCTCTTCTGCTCATCAGAAAATAACCATATGATGCCATGTTGGCCAACAGTCAACTCTAGAAATAGACAAATGCTAAAAGAAATCTCTGCCGATGTTCACTTGAGTTTGTAAACGTATTCGTGTCTCTCTTGTGCTCATTGTCCACAGAGATTGAAGGTTACTGCGCAAATGTTTGTAAAAAGTGGATTTCTGCACAAGAGTTTGCAGAAATGGCATTTTAAGTTTGCACACTCTGGAAGGAGCAACAGAGGGTCCTGTGGCACCTTTGAGACTACCAGACTCTGGAAGGAATTCGGCATTCATTCAATCAGGTGACAAAAATAATACCACGTGACTTTTGTGACTGCTCACAGCTCACTGGTCCAGCTCAAGTGATGAACAATGAATATTGGATACCCAGTGATAATCAAGATTTTTTAAAAAAATTCAAAAATGTTCTTGAATAACTTAATCACAATTTGCTCATAGCTATTTTGCAAGAAAACTGGATGAATATAAGAGCTTATTTGCTCAGCTCTAGTTACTTCTCAGGGCTGCAGCCCCATCTCCTTTATGAAGAAAGCAGACTAGGTCAAGCACTTCTGCAGATTTCAGCTGTGGCAGTACAGCACTGGCAGTCTCTCATATATGGAAGTTCTAAGCCCTTTAGGACTTTAGCAATCAACATCAGCACGTCGAATTCCACCCAGAACCCCACAAGTGGCCTGTGCAGATCATGGAGTACGAGTAATATGCTTACAGCAAAGCACTTTGCTTACTAAGTGGACTGATACATTCTGCACTAGCTTCACTTCCTAAATGGATTTAAAGTATAGCTCCATGGAGAGCACATTCCACTAGACCAGTCTTGAGATGGCAAGGGCATGGATCACAGTGGCAAGGTGTGTATCAGAAAGCGATGGTTGCAAAAGCTGCGTTGGCTACCGCTGAAAGGTGACTATCCAGCAATAATTGGAATTGTAACCAAACTCCTAGGCAGCAAACATGAACCACACAAGCCCTGAATTAGCAGCAGATAAACAGGGGCTCACTTTGGGAAGTGGGACCTATGAAGAATAAATTAAAGCCCAAGAAAGGGGGAACATGACTTTAAAGACATTGTTGTGAGTGGATTATTTTTGGAAACCTCAGGGAAACTGAGGCAGGGTGTCTGCAGGGCCACCTCAAGCCACAAGGGAGTGCCCTGGGATGGCACAGATGTACAGTGAGCATTAGCAAATGTTGACTTTCTACAGGTGACCACAGTCTGTAGTAGAGACGTAGCTATTAATCCTTGATAACAATGTTTCCCTAAATACATTATTCTGTTCAATCTAACATTCCAGATTTAAGGAGTGTTCAATGTTTCCTAAAACATTCAGACAAATTCTGCACTCTTTGCTGAGTTTGCACTCAGTCACTGAGGCAGACTCGCATGGCATAGCAGTGGTGTGACAGAAATCCAGAGTTGGAGCACACTTTTCAGCATGTCGCTTTTTTTTCCCCCCCCTTATTCCCTGTGCTTTTCAGTTCTCCGCGATAATTCGTCATGGCTGGTTACATTGGCACATCATGTTCAATTTATCACTGAGAAGCAAAATGAGAGATGATTAGACAACTTTGTGAAATATTTGAAACTGAACTAATGGCTAAGACACAACACTGAGCTAGAAAGGTCAGACGGGACAGCTCTGTTTGAAGGCAGTCCAGCTGCTGGGTCACTGCTCAAGAAGGTCAAGCGTGTGCTCCTCTCTATAGTGCAGGTCAGGAGTTGCCACACAGCCTGGGGTCAGTTTCCACCAACTCCAGTGGCTACAGCTGCACTATCTACAACCCTGAGGGCCAGTGTGGAGGAGTGGGGGGAAAGAGCCTCCCTCCCACCCCGCATCAGAGCTAGTCCCTAAATACAACAGCTCCCATTATGCCTCTCCCCTACTTTGGCCAAGAGAAGTCTTGATGAATACTGGGCACTCCAAAAAACAGAGTTAAAACCTATTATAATTTGGACTTCAGTGAGGCTCTGAGGCACAAGGGTCTGCCTGCATGGTTCGGCTTGCAGGAGCAGGGCCAATGTCATCAGACCTTTGACCAAAGTAGATGGCAGCTTTGCTTCTGGTCAGAAAATAGAGCTGAGCTGACCTAGCAATGTCCGGCTCCTAATCTCAATGTCAGCATTCAGGCCTGGGAAGTTACCGGAGCCATGCAGCACTCTGGATCCAGAATCCAAACCAAACCAAAATGAGGAAAGTGTCACCAAAATAGCTGTTCTCTTGAAACTTCTACTGTTTCGGCCTCCCCCAGGGTCTCCACTCACCCAGTCTGGGTTGCATTCAACCCGGCCAGCTGGCAGGCTCCACCAAGGGGGTACAGACTGTCCACTCACTTTTTGGTGGGGATTGCCCATGGCAGGCTGCCCAATCCCCAGACCAACAAATATTTCTTGGGGATTGGATGGGAGTTGTGCTTAGGGTGACCAGATAGCAACTGTGAAAAAATGGGACAGGTAGTAGGAGGTAATAGGCACCTATATAAGAAAAAGTCCCAAAAAACGGGACTGTCCCTATAAAAATGGGACATCTGGTCACCCTAGTTGTGCTAGAAGGTCCAACACGTACATACATGGGGCAACAGGCAGCGGCACCGTGTATTCCTTCAGTGAAAATATGCATTCTAGGAAGAACTGCTCCTTTCCCCTTTAGGTTTTTTGAGATTTTTTTTTTTGTATAAATAGG